GTCCTATTTCATATGAACTAAACATGGGAATTCCCATACCAAAAAATAGCCTTGTTTTTATTTTGCTAGGTAGTTTTATTCGGTTGTGAAACTGCGAAATCCCACGAGATGTAGCGATAATATTACAGGAAAACTTCTAAATTTTACAGAAAATATTAGTGGCTAGTGTTTAGCATTTAATTTAGATAACACTTTTAATGGAGGATCTACGCATGTTTTGAAATTTTATTTTTTCATTTATGATACACAAATTTCAACGAAGGAGCTATGAGTGTGATAATTTTTCGTCAGTATTTTACATCTTTTATTCTGTGACCTAAATAAATGAAATTGGTCGAGTTCTCTTGGATTTTTATCTTACAATAACTAAATCTTGGGGCCCGGCATGGCTAGGTGGTTAGGACGCTCGACTCGCAATCTGCGGGTCGCGGATTCGAATCCCCCGTCCCACCAAACATGCTCTCCTTTCAGCCGTGGGGGCGTTATAATGTGACGATCAATCCTAATATTCGTTGGTAAAAGAGTAGCCCAAGAGTTGGCGGTGATGACTAGCTGCCTTCCACTTCTAAATTAGGGACGGCTAACGCAGATAGCCCTCGTGTAGCTGTGCGCGAAGTTGATAACAAACCAAACCAAATTAAATATTGCATTAAACTTAAATAGACTATTTTTAATTAAAACGACCTTGTAGATGATATATCTAATTCAATGGCATAAAATTTCTCGAAGAGTCTTCTAAAGATGCACCCCGGTAGGACAGTGGTAAGTTTATGGACTTAAAACGCTAAAATTCAGGGTTCGATTTCCAGCGGTGGATACAACAGGTAGACCATTGCGGCCTTGCTCTAAAACCAACGCAAACACAAGCCTGTAAAGGCATGCGTCATGTTTTTGTTCATTTGAAGTTGTCTCATTCAGAAGCTCACGAAACCTAGCTGACGAGTCGTCAATGACGACCATTTATGAAAATCGTCATTCCAAATATGGATTATATTTTAATTATTAATGCAACCAGTTGTAGACTAACAACAGAGTTTTAACCTGCAATCCATTTAATATCATTGATATAAATCATTCTTGAAAGACCCTAGATATAAAACGTAGCTAAACAATGCAAGTGAGACTGTTACCTCATTTTATGAACAAGGAGGTAACCAACTGTAACTTACGGTGAATTATCACGTTTTGTCTCACAATCTGATGTAATTTATCTTAAAAAGTTTTACGAAACAACATGATTCTTCGCAATTAAGCTTGACCTAATGCTAAAGATGAGACTATATCATTCTACAAACCGAAATCAACTTTTTGTCAACTTGCGCGAAATTCAAAAAACAAACAAACTCATTATTATGTAACAAAGAAATGAGTGCATTATTATTTGCCAGAACAAAACAACCGTGACTCGAGCATTATTAGAGCATTTCATGTTGGTTAGTTCATTCAACAGAACAACGAGGTAATAATTTGGGAAAACTAAACCTCTATTTTCTTATAGTTTATCTAATATAAATTTAGCATATAAGAACTTTTTAGGCACGGCATAGCGGCTCATAGAGTTTTTAAGTAAAAACGTTTAGCTCATAGCTTCGTCATCTCTTAGTCGAGTTGAGATCTAATTGCAGTTTTGGACTCAGGAGGTCAAACCCTTTCGATTGATGTATCTGACCACTCCCAAGATCTCATAGATTAATTTACTCTAATCCTGTCTCAAAGAATTTCAATTTAAGGGTATGCTGATAGAGGTCCTGATAAGTAATAAAATCGAATCGGGTATACGCGTGCTCCATGTTTGGAATTCCTGGCCCACAAAAATACGGCTAATAAAAAGAAAAAATATCACATATATCAGTTTACTCTAATCCTGCCTGAAAGAATTTCAAGTGTCACGGCTCTTGAGGATTCCCTCTTGTTTCCTTTGATAAAACAACTAAATATCCATGAAATTGCTTTCGTTCCTCAACATTTTTATCGATCTTGTCTGATATAATTATATGTTACTTCATAGGTTCGTAGGTTAGCGCATCATTACTAGACTAATACATTGTAACACGATTTCTATTTGTTTGTTTTTAAGCACAATGCTACATAATGAGCTATATATGTTCTGTGTCCAACACGAGTATCAAATCCCAATTTTGGCGTTATCAGCTCTGAAGCTCACTTGGTTTGGTTTGTTTTGAATTTCGCGCAAAGGTACACGCGGGTTATATTCGCTAGCCGCCCCTAATTTAGCAGTGAAAGACTAGAGGTAAGGCAGCTAGTCATCACCACCCACAGCCAACTCTTGGGCTACTCTTTTACCAACTCTTTTTAGTAAGATTGACTGTCACATAATAACGCCCCCACTGCTGAAAGGGCGAGCATGTTTGGTGGGACGGGGATTCGAACCCGCGACCCTCAGATTGCGAGTCAAGCGCCCTAGCCACCAGGCCATGCCGGGTCCCTTAAGCTTACTGCTGAGCCACCGGGAATCACCATAACATCGGGAGAAAAAATTAAAACATTTATTGGCACTAACAAAACTTAACAACAACAAATTATTTTACACGAGAAAGAAAATGTTTGTGTTTGTTTGTGTTTTAAGCACAAAATGATTTGCACCACACCCATTTTATGAAAATAGATATGATATTTTAAAGCACTCAGGCAGAAACAGAAATATATCGAACGAGTAAACAGCTTGGAAACGAATTCAGTATGTAACATATGGTATTTCTAAACATGATCGCCTTACTATTATTTCAAAGCTCACAAACATCAGCCAGTTAATGAAAAAAACATTTCGCTTTTAAAAATGGGGTCCGCGGTGAATCAGCACTACGTTCACAGACTTAAAGCTTTTAACTCCGCTGTTCGATTCCCGATGATGGCCAAAGCGCAGAGAGGCCATTAAGTAGTTTTGTGCTAAAAAAACAATTCAAAATGTAAACTCATTTAAATAAAATATAACGTTGTTCTCTGGATTAGACCTTATCTTTGATAACAGTATTTTATATTAATAGTTTTGTTTTGTGTTTAGGTACTGATTAAGTATTTTATTACAAGTTACAGCTTTTACAGTAAGGAAGATTATTTTTTAGAACATGTAGGACGTTTCGATGACTGGTGCGATTATTCTCAAGTACAAAAGAGAGAATGGTCGCAACGTCGTACCTGTTCTAAAAAATAGCCATCCTTACTGTAAAAGCTGTAGCTTGTAATAAAATAATTTATTTTATAACATAATTAGTAATTTTATTGGGAAAAAATGACAGTGAAAAAAGGTTATTCTTATAAAAACATTGTTGTTGCGATAGTTATTTTAAAAAATATTTTTTAAAATGTGAGGAAAAATTTAAACAAATAATATAAAAGATAATTTTATCAGTAATGAATAAGAAATAAATTAAGAAACAGGAAAATAATATTTTATTTTTGTATTGGCCACTACTTCTAAGAAGTACGCGTTTATGACGCACGTTAAGTTTCTTGGATAGCATGGCGAGTTATACAGGCAAAAATCAAAAGCTGATTAGTGACCCTTAAATATTTTAACTGCAGATTTTACAACAAAAGCATTAACAAAATATTTTCTTTGAACGTGACTTATAAATCGATAGGTATCCAACCCCCCCCCCCCAAAAAAAAAAAAAACACACATTAAGTAGTATCTATCTGGTACGTAATAGCTGGCTTTGCAAAAAAAAAAAAAGGCAATTATAAACTGTCGAAACGTGTTAAGTCTTTTATATTAAAGTAATGTCTTAATTCATGTTCTACAGCTTTGTATTCGTAACTTAGTTTAATAAATTTGAACATGAAGTTTATTTATGTACATATGAAACATTAATGAACCAGTTATACATGTTCATAAGGAAATAAGATCTGACTGGTTTGGATATACTGTATAACGTATTCTTTCGTTGGATCGATTCTTTTAAGATTATTTTGGTAAATAACGAGATTCGGTCCACGTAACGAAAACGAATTATTTTGCTTCTTCAGTAACGCTTGCTACAGGCTACTTTCTCTTGGACGCAAGTTGTAGGGATAATTTCGCAAACAAACTTTTCGAAATAAACTTTGAATCTACCGTAGGCCTAATATACTAATAACTTTTAACAGAAGTTTCTTTGATTGATAAATTAAATGCTGACTAACCTATTGGTTAGGTTACATGAGCATTAACTCTTACTGAATAACTTTACTCGATCATTCACGTACTGGATAATTCACTAACTTCTCATTCACTGATTACTCGTATTTATAAACGGTTTTCATTTGTCTAGATATTACTCGAAGTTACTAGATTCTTGACGTTCTCGTGAACATTCTAGGTATTCTAGGACTACTTTTATAAACTTTCTTGATCTTAACACCATGCACAATCTAACTAACATCTAAATTAAAAAATACTTCTTACGAAGATACGTTTCACTTAAAATAATGCTTGTAAAACAGAAAAACTTTAGTATCTCATTTAACATAAATCAATTGAATAGTTACCTACTGGGAAAAGTTATTCAAAACATCATAATAACAACATGCGCAACAATTTATATTCAGGCAATATGTAAAAGTTTAGTACCAGCTGAAAATGGTGGTAAATATTTAATGTTGCTTATTGTGGTATCAATAGGGCACTTGTCTCACGCCCCTGAATAATATTATATTATGATAAAGTAATATAGGCATTTCGCATGGTGATACATAGAAGGTTTGCCTTGGTCAAGTGATATAAAAGCTAAAACTACAATTGTTCGTTTTTGAGTTTCGAGCAAAGCTACACGTCCTAGCGCTAGCCGTCCCTAAATTAGCAGTGTAAGACTAGAAGGAAGGCAGTTAATCATCAATACCACTCTTGGGCTACTCTTTTACGCCCCCAGGGCGAGCATGTTTGGTGGGATGGGGATTCGAACCCGCGACCCTCAGATTGCCGGGCTCGCTAAACAAAAAAAAAAGTTAAACAATATAGTTATCAAAACAAAGAGTATGAACACTAATTTATTGTTACGTACCTCGAAGAAGAAGTGTTTTGGAGTGCTTAGTGAAATACAAATATATATTATGCTAAGTTTAAATAATTTCGTCTAGACAATTGAAAAAGCAGTTCCGTTGCTATTGTTAGCAGCACAGTAGTGTATAATAACACTTCCTAACGTAGAAGAATGGCTGGGTGGATATATTTCATTTTCTTTTACTCAATTATGGTGTGCACTAGACTCTGTAATTCCAAACCGGGTTAGCATGACCGAAATTTACAAAACACTGATCAGCGTGAATAGAATCAACATATTGAGTTCGTTTTTGTTTGTTTTTTATAACGTGGCATATATCTTGTGATGATTGTCCCGGCGAGATTTGATATTTTGAAACAAAATACCCCTTATTTTAATTGGAAATAGCAAAAACTAAAACTTAGCCATGCGCAGTAGAAGAACCAGATATCCTAGTTTTTATGTACGGTAACATTCTATACCGGAACTACTTATTTCTCTTACCGGAAGTAATTATAAACCCTTCCTTATAGACAGTTGTTGTTTCAAATAAAAACGAGTTTTTACCGGTAAAAATTACTTTAATTAACTGTACTAATTTATATTTTAAAAAATGAGAAACAACGGTTTATTATTATTATTAGTCATGAAATACATAGTACTTATCCTGATCCTCATTAGCACATAATCTAGGATGAAACGGATAAGAGTTTGTTACAGCAAAACTATGTAACATTCATCAGTTCTGTGTCCTACTTTAGTTTTCAGTGCACTCGTGCATTCGGTAGCTTTGGTTATCATGGTGTTAACGTGGCTGGTGAATTAAATTGTGTGTCAAATGTTAACCCAGGTGATGGTTTGTGCTAATCAACATGCGTATTGTTGAGTGTGCAGAAGTTAGTTCTGGTTATCATGGTGTTAACATGGTTGGTGAACTGAATTGTGTGTCAAATGTTACCCCAGGTGATGGTTTGTGCTAATCAACATGTGTATTGTTGAGTGTACAGAAGTTAGTTCTGGTTATCATGGTGTTAACATGGTTGGTGAACTGAATTGTGTGTCAAATGTTACCACATGTAATGGTTTGTGCTAATCAACATGTGTATTGTTGAGTGTACAGAAGTTAGTTCTGGTTATCATGATGTTAACGTG